TTTTTTTTTTTTTGATTCAGTTTATTATTGTTGCAAATTCGAGCTTTTCACTTAAGCTGAATCTTTCATAAATTTAGGCCTTTGAAAGGAAGCCAGCTTCAAAGCTCAATTCATCATCTTCAACCTCCGCTCTTGAAAGAGTTGCGAAGGTTTGCAGATACGGTGAAGAATGTAAAAAACCCTTTTGCAAATACTCGCATAATGGTGATGGGTAAGTTTACATAGAGACAGTTTTTGTGTATTACGTTGACGAATTTGTGCTGTTAGGCTTCTGTTGATTAAAGGTAATTTTAAGTGGGGGTTTTTCGTTGCTGTATCAAGTTCTTACTGAGGTTGTTTCTATTAAGCGAGTAGATCTGTAAATTTACAAGCTTGTGCTGTGAGAAAACTTTTGGATAGAAGTAGCAAAAAATTACACAGTTTGTTGTAGAAAAGGAGAGGCTTCTGATTATGAAGATGTAACTAATGTACCTGGTGCAGAGGACAATACCTGGATGCATTATTTGCCCGAAGAAGTTCATATAAAAGTTTCTGATGGGATTTGTTCTGTTTCGGAGGTTACCTTTGACACAGTTTTTTTAGAGGAAATTGGCTTTTTTATTTTTATTTTCAAGACTTTTAATTATTTTCAGTAATTTATACTTACAATAAAATTTAAGAGCATGTCTGAAGGGAGTGTGTCGTATTCGTTGCGTACGGCAGTCTTTGCAATTGGTGAAGGTGGTGTCGATGCAGAGCCTACTCATTTGGTTACTGCAATCAGGCCTCGGACAGAGACATGTGCTGCGTTACACCTTTCACCAAATACATCCGGGCAAAAAATTTTTGAGGTTGGATGACTGTTTAAACTCTATTAATTAGGATATAAGTTACATCGGCTTCAAGACAGTTCTGTATATTGTAGTAGTTTTTTTTGTTTTGTTTTGTAGAGGGGCTTCATTTAAGGATCGTGGTTGGATTGTATTTAATGATTTTGTTGTGACCAAAGTGACAGAAAATGAAGCACTACATATTGATGCTAATTGGAAATTGCCATGTTTGCTCTGTTATGTACAGACAGAAATGGATCGAAACACAGGTCTTTTATTTTTATATTCAAAAACGTTACTGGTTTTTGCTTGAAGAATATTGAGTTTCAAAAGTCTACTAGTCTTTCCTAGCTTAATTCCTTTTGCTTAAGTCCCACAGGCTCGTGTGCAAATTTCCCCACATCAGTGGGACAATAACAGCTTGAAAGACCAGATTTTGAATGGCATGGATGTAGAGAGATTGCCTAAAAAGGGAGATATCGTTGCTATTGATGCTGAGTTTGTAACTATAAATCAGGTTCGCAATTTCTTTTCTCAGCCTTTTTGGAATTTTGAATAATAGAACTTTTTGTTTTTAGGAAACCTTGCGTACTGTAGCGAGGGTCAGTTGTGTACGAGACGATAGCAGTTGTCTTCTAGACGCATATATTCAACCTTGTTGCACTGACAAAGTAATAGACTACCTTACTGCGTGGAGCGGAATTGAAGCAGCTGATCTTGATCCAAATGTTTCAACACGAAATCTGACAACATTGAAGGATGTTTACTTAAAACTCTTATATCTTGTCCAAGAAGGAGTAATTTTTGTTGGACATGGACTGAGCAACGATTTTAAAGCGCTGAACATTTATGTTAGCCAATTTTAATAATTAATGCTTTGGTTAGGGAGTGTACAATTTTAGGAAGTACTGGCATATGGAACAGAATATAAGTTACTTTACTTTTAAGCTCCCTGTAAAAATGTTGGAATTTTTTATTCGAAGAGGGCCTTGTGTTATTTCCGTTGACGACATCAGTTTATCAGTTTCAGGTACCTCCTGACCAAGTACGCGACACGGTGCATTTATTCCATTTGGCTACACAGCGTATGATCTCGTTACAGTTTCTAGCTTGGCATATTTTTGGTAATTTTAAATCTTTTCACGCCAAACATTTACAGGCGTCTTACTTATCAGATTCAACTTAGCTGCCTGCCTTTCATGTAAAAAGGCGGAAATAGATGCTTTTTTTTAATCAGGCAGAGACGAATCTGTTTTTCCAATTTTGACCGTGTTAAGTGAGTTTGTTTTAGTTATTCTGCAGGGATTCCCAAACTTTAGGTGAGTCAATCCAGCAAACATCTCATGATTCTGTTGAAGATGCTCGGATGGCTTTACGACTGTACAAAAAGTTTGAGGAACTGAAAGCTGATGGGAGCTTAGATTCGGTTATTGCAGAGCTTTATGAAACTGGTAAACGACTAAATTGGAAGATAGGTGGAATTTCAGGTGTGACGAGTAATACTGAAGAAACTCCAGCGCAGGCGGCGCTGTGAACCTCATCTCAAACATTTTCAGGGTTCACTTCTATTTTACAAGCAGCAATTTATACCTTTCGAAATCTTAGAGAAGTTACTTTTTTTTAGCTATGAATCATTCCTTCACA